GGGCGCTCCGCCGAAAACGCGGGACCTCAATATGGCTGACAACGTGCAAGCGCAACACTTTGAACGCTTTAAAAAATAAGACCCGCAAACAGGACGCTTTCGCCCGTGAGGCATTTCACAAGCGACCTGATCGCAAAGGTTTCGGCATAAATGGGAACCCATGGATCAATAAACCCCTGGTCAACTAATAGTAGGGTCGTTTACTGTTTAGGGAAACATGCCGCAATTAATCCAGCGGGTTGAGTAATCTGACATTTTATTCTGCACAACATCTTCTGTGTAGCAGTTGCTAGGTGGTGTACCCGGATGTAGACCTTTTGCCCGCACCTCACCAGCAGATTCGACACAAAACAAACGACGCAAGTCCAGCAACAACGGTAAGGAAACCCGAAAGATTTGGCCACCAACCTGTAGGAGACCGGCATGTGCCTTCGACTCTTGGGGGTTGCCAGATGTGGCCAAATGCAGGGTTTCAGTTCTAGCTCCAGGGCGGTCCGCGTGGCTTTAGAATGAAACAACCTCCGGTGCTCTGATTTGCTGCACACTTTACACTAATTCCAAAACCAAAATATGGGATCCCCCAGAAAAGAACCCCCCACACCCCCAGTAATTGAGCTCGTTCTACCCCCGAATCGAGCGAAGGAATAGGTAGGCTGATGCGAATAAGGCAATTGGATGCTTGCCAGAAAGATGCTTGCCAGAGCTGGACTTGTCCGTACCAAATCTTTGAAAAACCTTGGGGCTGGAAGTTCAGCAAGGGAATTGCCTGGACGAGTGAAACCAAGCTCAAACCAAGGGAATCTGAAGCACCAAGAAAAGCCTTGTCGAGTGCGGAGTGGGAGCCCTGTAGACATTTTTAGAGGTCGCATGGCCCGCATTCTCAGACTCAGCTCGGACATCTCTGAGCTGTTTCTCGCAAGCCCAGGTCTCAGGCTCGCAACGTCTGCTGCGAGATCTCGCCTGGGGTCACCGAGGTCTCTCTCTGTTTCACTGGTACGACGCGGGAACACAGCATGGGTGAGCCCATCTGCTGAGCTCACTTTCCGGATGCTTGCCTTTGAGTTTGTTTCAAGACTTGTACACAGCGGCTGGCACTTGTAGTGGAGATCGTGTTCCCACATCAGGTGGACCTTTCTGAACGACCCTCGCAACGGGTCAGAAAACGCAAGGGAACTGGACAAGGCCGTGATACTCCCAAGGGCCCACCTCTCACCTCCGTTGAGGTGCTCAACGCAAACAAACAACGTGTGAAAAGGCGACTTCTGACAACCAAACCATCTCCCAACAAGATCCCCACAGGCCGTTGCGACCCCCGAGCGACTGCCATACAATATTTTTTGAAAGGTTTGTCAGCCAGCGAATCTTTCGTGCCTGAAAGAGGGCGCTTGAGAACAGCATCGCCTTAGTAAGCGCGCACGGCAGACTCCCGAAGTATAAATAAACCAATATCTGACCACGAAACACCATGACTTGCACAAATCATGTTCCCCTCGCAGTATGTAACCAGCGTATGATCACCATTGTGAACGAGCCATCGTAACCACTCAGCCCAACAGCAACCCCTGGGTGACTGGAAAGTGACCGCGAACGAGGAAACTCACCATAAGCCCAACAGGTGATGTTTAAACAACCCAAAGGGCAAACATAGGGAGCCCTGTGAAAGGCATAGCTCTTAAGTGAGAGCTAAGTGGCATAGGCTACGCCATCCCCTAAGTCTGAGAAAGGCCGAGATCCGATCCTCCGGAATGACCACAAGGGGAAGCACCTGTGTGTTTGGACATCTGATTTTAAAGCGAAACCCTGAAACAAGTAGACAAGACGCTGGAGGCTGGAACGCCAAAGCAGCCGAGTCGCGGAACTTCAAGGAATCACAGGTAACGCGAGTGTTTGTTGACGGGAATTGGACCCCTTGCAAGCAACAAACTACCGAAACAGCAGATTCCTCCGAAATCTGAAATTTGTTGTTGTTTGGGGGCTGCATACTAATCCAAAGCAGAGTAGCAGTAGAATGAAGGGAGCCAAAAGGCCCCAGCCAGTGTTGCCCAAATGGCATTCACTTTATTGTTCACCCAAGCCCAAGCCGGAACACTCCAAGGCGGCAGCCATTGGTTTGATTGACAGCGCGCTTCTGTCCTGTCAAAACGCGGCCGTGGGCGCAAGCCCCATGTCCAAGAACCTCTCTTTTGTGGCACAAATGGGAAACTGCCTCATGAGTGTTGCGCCAGCCCAACTCCACTCCCTTTTTGTGGGTCAAACGCAAAAAAAACAAAACACGTGAAATCCTTGACCCCTAAACGCTCTCACGCTCATGTGGCTTACCCTCAACTCAAGCCCCTCGCCTGCGCCATTGGCCCGATTTGGAGCCGCGGCCTGAGAGCAAAGTACGCCCCATCCCCCCTGTTTCTTCTTTGGATCAGGCAAGAGATGAGACATACTGTGGATGGACGAAATCCGTTCGCACCCCTTTGAAACCATGGGAAACCATGAGGTGTGGTGGTATTTGCAGGGGAATCATCATTCCAATGTTTCTCAGGTAGTGCAGGATTTCGTCCATCCACAGCAAGTCAAACTTTTAGTGGGCGAAATGGAAAGAACCCAACCACTAGACCAACAAAAACAACTAAAACACCTTTGTGGAACTCTTACCCCGGACACATGTTGCAACCTTGGTGTTTTCTGGGTTTCCTTTTAGGAAAGTTTAGACATCCGCATGAGCATGCCCTGAAGGAAAAATCTGCTCCACCTTTTCTCCTCAGGCGTTCCCCGAGCTGTGTGTGGGGCCGGGCGCTTCCGGAAGGCTCAGGGGTGCCACCACACGATTTGGTCGCGTGTGGTCAATGGTGCGCCAGAGGCAAACCAACCCACACGCCCGTTTCTGTGGCTGTCGCAGCCGCTGCTTCTGCTGTTGCGGCTACTACTGCTGCTGCCACTGCTGTTGCCGGCCTTGCCTTTGTCGCTGCTGCTGTTGTTGTTGCTGCTGCAGTTTTTTTTGAGCCTCCGGCTCTTTCCGCCGACCTTGAGGTACCCATCTTCGACTACGGCTTGGTGACGTTCCTGGGCACGTTCTTTCCCGGCCTTGTGTTCTAGGCGCGTGACTGGCGGGTGCTCTTCTCCCGCGCCTTCTCCTCCCCTGGCGGTTTTGTGTTTTTATTCTTTTCTGCGGGTGTGCCAGCCTATGGGGTGCTCCCCGATTGTCTTGCGGGCGCTCGCCTATGGGGTGCTCCCCAATTGTTCGATCCACTCTCATGCGCAAATGCTCTCGTTGTTCTGCTGCTGGTGCCGCGGGCTCCCCCTTTTGCCAGGCAATGACGTTTACGGAGCCTGGGGCGCTCAGCCAGTCTGAGCTCCAAGTGGAGGGGGCAATGACAGTTCGGAGCCCCCTGCGAAGCCGGGAGGGATGGCGCCTTAGGCAGGGCCCTGCGCTCTTCTGGCGCAGAGTCTGGCGCAAAGGCTTCTTCTCTCTGTCTCTCTCTCTCTCTCTCTCTCTCTCTCTCTCTCTCTCTCTCTCTCTCTCTCTCTCTCTCGCTCTCTCTCTCTCTCTCTCCAGGCATTGCGCCCAAATGGACACTTTATGAAGGACCAGCAATGGCCGACACGTTGAATATTCCACAACGTGCCACTGCTACCCCAAATGAGTCATGTTTGTTGCCCTCAGCCTTCACGGCCTTAAGGAAGCGCGTGGCAAAAAGGTGCCCAGCAGGGATCCATAAAACACACCTACTTCTCCTCCTGGACGAGTCTCTCTCTCTCTCTCTCCCTCCCTCCCTCTCCCTCCCTTTCTCCCTCTCTTCCCTCCCCCATCCTCGGGCAAACGTCCCAAACAACTTGGCAGGACCACAACGTGCTGCAACTACGGGATATCCCAACTGCCAAGCGGCAGGGGAAAGGCAAAGGTCTGCATGTCGCTCACCTGCCAATCTCGTCATGCTCCAGCACTGAATTGACTACAACGCCGAGTTGGGGTAACAGGTGTTCGATATCTTCTCTTGAATCTGGAATGTGACATGTGAAACGTAAACAGTCCTTTTTGGGTGAGCGAGCTTGCGCTAGCCCTCCATTTAACTCAGCTGAGTTGACCCAAGGATAGATGCAAAAGGTGAACCTTTCAGTCATGTAATTTTGCCCAATTGAAATGGCAGGAAAAGGATAATGACAATGAACATATTCCAAAAATAAAAATGACACCCCCCTTCCAATAATGATAATAGTAAAGCTCATAGCAAGTATAAAGCAATGGTAATGATACTACCCATATATGATACATATGATATGTATATACAAACATTTTTTGAACACTGGGGCAGCTGTTTTAGATAACATCTTCTGCACAAAGCCGAGCTCTGGTATGCTCTGGCGTGAGGGATAAACAGCTACAAGTCCAAGAAGAGTACATTGAACTAAAGGAGACGCCCGATCTGTGCGCTACACCGACTACAACGAGCGCATTGAAACGCACAAAAGGGCAAACATTGAAGACACAGCAATCCGATTCTCAATTCGAGAGGGCTGCGAGGACTGACTATGACTGGGCCAAAGTTTGAACTTGACTTGTGAGTTGTTCATTCGGAGCCCTGAGCACATTGACGCGCTAACATGTAGGCTGCAGGGCTGGGACTGCTTGTTTTTCTCCTTGTCTCGCGAGTTTTTTTCGACAGCCGCCCAGTCGGCCATTGAGCCAGCCTTGGCTGCGGCTCGATGTGCCCGCATTCTGAAGAAGGAATGCCCCAAAATGGGTGGCTCCCCTTTGGTTTAACATCAGGAGAAGGATTCACTCAACAAGGCAGGCACGCCCCAAAGGGTGCGTCCTCTGAACAGCACCCAGAAGAATTCCCTCACCTTCGTACGCAAAGGTACAACTGCATGGCCTTTTCATGATTGTGGCCCAATCCGGGTCGCACAGACTTGATGGTCACTGAATACAAGACGCTTCACTGGCTGAAGGCTGAGCAAGTGCTGACGGAGCGCAGGCGAGGTCCATCGAGAGGGCAGAGAGAGCAGCATCAAAGGGCCGCCGCATCTTCCTGCAGGGGCAGCCAAAGCCTTGGCTCAGCGCTGGGAGGTTGTTTGGACACCCCGTAAAAATGGGTGGCTGCGCTTTGCGGTTCAAGCACCCAGGTGAAGATAGGCATGCTGGAGCTATGAAGGTTGAGCCGCGAGGCAAATGCCATGTCAGCAACTGCCGCCTCTTACACTTGGGGTGTGATTCATGTTTGGCCTTAGACGCCAGAAGGAAGCCAACCATTTTTCAACTTGGCCCTCCCTGTTTTTGATCGGGCTGCCGAGGCGCGCTGATGGCTCGGCGCGAGAATGGCAAATGAACGGAGGGTTGGAAGCAGCAAGCGGGTTGGGCACGTAGTGAGTGGCATCCTCAGCGCAACCGCTGTGGATGGGTTCAAGAAAATCAGCTCTCACCAGCTGGGATGGATAAAACCCTATGAATGCTTGTTGACAAACCACCTACCAACTGGTGCCTGGCGTCAATTATTGAAATTCATGTCGGCTTCGTTCCTTTTTGGATTGTGCACTCCATTCTGAGGCCGCGTCGTCCGGAGCGATCACCAGCGCGATCTTGGAGCCGGCACCTTCGAGGGCTGCGGACCATTTCTTGAGAGCCAAATAGACTTTGCAAACGGGTGCCTCCGATCAAAGGGAAGGATCATCTTTCAGCAAAGGGCATTCAAACCAAAAACAAGCTGATTTTTATGAGACCCCTATGCAGGATCCTCTAGATCAACCAGGCCGGTATCCTTCCATGTCGAAGTCTCAACGAATGCTCTCAGGGCCTTGGCCCAAAGGGGCCCCCGGGACACAAAGGATCGGCCAAGCTGCGGAATCGGTAGGCGGCCGGGAAGAACTTCAGCCTGGCTGTGGTGCCTGGCGGATGGCCGGAGTTCGGAGAGCCGAGCGAGGCCAGCGAGTCCAAGACTGAAGGGGAGCATTCTGCATTCGCGGGAAGCAGTTCATCCGAAAAGCTTCGGGACGTGGCGCGAATTGCGATGAGCAGTCATTGAAAGGCAAAAAAGCAGCCCAGAAAAAAAAGAGCTGCAGTGATGGTCCTAGTGAGTTGAATCCTTTCCAAAACCTCTCCCTTCTAAGATTCTTGGCCAAAAGGGGGCAACCACAATGTTATAACTCCCGCAGCGCAAGCTAAGCAACCATGGCCGAGGTCTGAGTGAGACCTTTATCTCCCAAGTTTTCAGAAACACTAAGAATTTATATCAGTACCGAGCCATGCTGGCAAGGGTGGGTGCAAACAAAGAGCAGGGGCAATCGCACACACACACACACAATGCCGGGGTTGTGGAGTGCCGCCTGCAAACCAGCCCTCAAACTCAGAAGGACTAAATTCTCACAAGCTGAATAAGCTGCACCGTCCTTATCACAAGCTGACTGGGCTGCACCGTCCATTGTAGGTAAGATCGTGCTCTCGTTTGGGATGCTTCCCCTTGACACAGCTGCACAGCAACCACTTGATTGGGGCTGGGCCATAGGTCGCTCCCGTTCCAACCTCCAACCGTTTCGGTTGGTCCAAAGTCCGACCGGGCCGTCGACTCTTCGGCCTTCCGCTGTCACCATTTCCCGGTCCTGCCGCCTGGCCACGGCCGGGATTTTCCAGCCCAAAACACGAGGCAACCCCTGGGCAAAATCGCTGAATTCCCAACGCAGAATAGAACTCCCTACCGGGCAATGCACGTGAGCTCAATCAAGCTCATTCTCCCAAGAAGCTCGGCATGGGCAAGTTTCTCTTGGGCTTATCCAAGGACTCCCACTCATCCCTTCTTGGTTTAAACTATTGCAGTTTGACCCAAAGCCAGCCACCGGTTGCGAGGTTGCTGGCTGATTGGAGGCTTTTGCGAGTGGCGTTTGACCAAAAGCAAACGAGAAACGGGGCACCCTGAGATGCATATGAGCAGAAAATGGACCTCTACTCAAGCTAGAAGAAGCTGCTGGCAAGACTTGTTCAAACTCCTTCCCTGTGGTGCCCTCCCTTGCTTCTTGAGACACATGATTGAAGCCCCACTATTGTCGGAAACAACTCATCATGCGTGGCTTCCATTGGAACCAAAGGCAATCCAATGTAGCCGCAATTGACATTGGCTTGACCAGTGCTGGGGAACTTTTTGACTGAAGCCGCCAAGCCTGTTGTTTCAACCCTTCCTTCTTTTCCAAACCCTCTACCTTTTCCCAAACCCTCTACCTTTTCCTTATAACCCTTCAACTTTTCTTTGCTAACCCTGTGGTCCTACAGCAGCTGTACTGCGTAGGACTGGTTTGGATGGGTTTGGGGTTAGGGATACTTGGTTTGGGGAGACTTTAAGTTGGTTTTGGGTGTGTGTTCATAAGTCTGGTGGGTTCAGGGTTGGTTCGGGAATGGTTTCCCGTAACCCAACCCTGAACTCGCCCTAAACCCCATCTACACCCACCCTGAACCGACCCTAAACCCACCGAGCTGGGGGTGTGTTGAGTGAGGGTTGATTGTTTTGGGTTGGCTTCGTGTTGGTTTAGGTTGGGTTTAGGGTTGGACTAAGGTTAGTTTGCTGGGATTAGGGCTTGGGAGAGAGGTTTGGGGTGGGTTCTGGGTTGGCTTAGAGTCGATTTAATGTTTGTTTAGGCTTGGTTTAGGGTGTGGGGTTGGATTGAGGTTAGTCTGGTTGGTCTAGGCTGGGTTTACAGTGAGCTTAGTGTTGGTTTATAGTTGGCTTAGAGTGGGGTTAGGGGAGGTTTAAGGTGGGTTAGGGTTGGATTAGGGTTGGGCACGTGAATGGTTGGCTTGGGGTTGATATAGGGGGTTTGATTTCGGGTGGTGTAGGGTTGGTTTAGGGTTTCGGGTTGGTTTAGCGCGGGTTTACGGCTTGCTTCGGTGGGTTAATTGTTGATTCCATGCTACATATCTGTACGTATATCTATATATATATATATATATGTATATTTATATTCTGGGGATTTTGTTTTTTGGATCTTGCAAACTATTATCTTTGTCTGCAACGTATTAGGGTTTAGGGTAGGTTGAAGTTTGGTTTGGGCTTAGGGTATGTTTAGGATGGTTTTAGGTCGGGTTGGGGTGAGTTCTTTGGTTGGCTTAGGGTTGGTTTAACCCAGACTGAAAGTGAAAAGGGGGTGAGCAAAGTGAAAAAGGGGGTGAGCAAAGAAGGGTCCAAGTTTGACAACACGAACCCAGCACTGATCTGTCGAAGGCATAGCTTGATATGCTTCAAATTGCTTGCAAACAATTGCCCTACCAAGTGGTGACACCTGAATGGGCTGCCCGAGAATTCGGGCATGTTTCCAGGCCCAAGTTACTTCACCAACGACCAGGAATCACTCCCCTTCTCTGTCAAGCATGCAACTGGCGCATTTCAGCCAGCTAACCAGTCGTTTGTCAATGCTTAGGACTGGCGAAACACGATGGAGCCAGCTGCTGAAGCTTGGCTACCTTGTCAAACTTTTTCAATGGCTTGTTGCTTCAGTTTTCTTTTTGAACATCGCAAGATACCCTTTGTTGGAAGCTGGCCCCCTCCCCCCCGCCCCCACCTGTAGCTGTGATGCGGCACCCGGGCGTCTGCCTCTGCCTCCGAATCTTGTGGAGGATCTGCTGCCTGGCCAGCATGCCCGGTAGCAGATCCAGCGGATTCATCTCGACGGTGTCGTAGTTGGGTGACCAGTGGGTTGTCACAAATGGGTTCTCGGCATGCTACACGCACTGTCTCTTGGCACCTTGGTTTTGAATGGGAACCCCTGCGGAGCAGCACGGGACCAATAACATGTAGAAGAATAACCTCCGAATTTGGGAAGCCTCCGTTTTGGGTTCCATGTCAACCTGCTAAACAGTAGATTTTTGGAGTATGGACCCGTGCTGAGCCTCGAGTTGCTGAGTCATACGCAAATCAAAACCTGTGCACCTTGGTCGACATTGATCGCACTCAGCAGCCTTGGTGGTATCATATTGGCTGCCTACCAATATGCGGAGCTTTGTTTGACAAGGGGTTTCCACTGGCTTCCCCCTGCGAAGCCTGATCCCCAAATCGGGTTTGTTAATTAGATGTCAATATTTCAGGGCATGGAGCCGCAGTGAAGGACAAAAGGAAATAACGGTAATTTCACCCGGCTTTGGTTCTTGACCAATTGCCAGAACCTTGTACTATGATAAAGGCAGCATCATCCATCACCAAATTGCCAGCACATGTTCAGGCGGGAAGCTGCCAGAAACTCGGAATTTCTTTCTGCAACTCCAGCCACGCCCATTGCTCCGCAAGGCCTGGCCTTCTCGTGTGGAGGCGCATCCACCTCCTTGCGGTAGCTAAGGCGAAGTATGCCTCGCCGCAAAGCTAAAGGACCGCAAAACCCCGGATCTATCGACCTGATGGATCGGTAGGTACTGTTCCCCCCTGCCCAAAAGTAATTGCAAAATGGGATGCCCCTGTCAATCCTCCAGGGGGCAAGGACACTTTTAACTCACCACCGAAGGTGCTTCTAAACCCAAACAGCTGGCCTTCGGTCACATAAGTCAGATCTCCGCCGTCAGCCGGACGCTCGCAAATGTAGGCGAAAATGTCCGCATCCTAAAGGGAGCTTCTGTAACGAAGTTGGGGGGTGCCATCCACACACTTACCCACAAGAACAAACATGAAACCTGCACAGGGCTCCCCCGAAAAGGAACATTGTCTTCCAGGATCCTTTGCACAGGTTCTATGATTGTTTTTGGGAGTCTGCTCTGCAAGCCCAAATCCTAAAACACAGACACACTAAAGAAGGTGGCCAAACAAAACAGGCCTTAAGTGTTCACCATACCGGTCCCCTGAAATGAGTGGCTTTCCTTCAGCATTCCCTTTTTGAACGGCCCCATCTAAGAATCTAAGGGGTGAGCCTCAAGAGAACGTTTCAAGACATGGGTATGGGTCAAAATTGAACCATCAGGGGACCACAGGTTTTAGCCCTTGGTTCCATTTACCAGCGTTCCATTTTGGGTACCCATTGACCCACAGCCACATGCAAGAGTTCCAGTCCAGTGAGCTTTGCCCAAGCAGTCCGGATCCCCAGCGCCGCGGATTCGCAAGGACAGCACTGCGGAGCCGACCAGCGCCAAAGGCGCGGAGCAGGCCGGCGCTTCGAAGAGCAAGGCTCGGCCGCTGTCAACCGCAGACCTCACCGGGGAATGGTCCCAGAGGAAGATGATCTTCCAGGTACCCTCACGGTAACCTCCAACCATGCAATGTTAGTGGGAGGAAGGATACGTCTTGGTCGAAGTCAGCCCCTGAAAGGGTTGGACCTCAAGGAGATAGCCAAAGTACCCCTGCCACGCCCGGCGGTCTTCATGTTGGGACTTTCCTCCCTGCTGAGAACCAATCCGTATCAATTTGTGAATAAGGAAAGCTAAAAAATGCCAAACTTGTTGCAGAACTTGATGCCTTGACTCTGGCTGGATTCCTTGCGCCGCACTAGGGCCCAGACTGCTTCCACTTGTACTTGACCAAGTCCTTAAGGCAAGCCAAGTGATCATGAATGACCAGCGCGCACAAAACCAACCAGACCTTTCACTCACTTGGTGGATCAGTAAGTAAAACCACAAGTGATCTGAAATCAGGGAGCCCAAACATCCCCAAGTCAGAAGACCTGCATCACGGTGAACTTGCCATAGGTCCCAAATGAGTTCGCCCACAGGCAGCTGGCATCCCCTTACCCAAAAACTCAATCCGAAAGAGGGCCGACATCGAACATTTGCGTCGTGGGCCAGGCGGTGGCTTCCAAATGGCTGGAAGGCCCTAGCTCGGGCCATACGCCGTTGCTTTGATTGCTTTGCGTAGCAGAATCCCGGCAATTCAATGTCCCTTTGGCGAAAGAAGGGATGAATTTCATACGGTTCTTCCAGATTGCCATCCAAAGCCCAAGGGACAGCTATGCAAGTGCATGGCGCTGGCTGTCAGCCGAGCGTCCATCATCTTGATCATCGCCATGTACCGCGACACACCGCCCCAGACTAGCTGCCGAGCACTCGTGGCCGGGGGCAGCTGCGTAGAGCCTGGGGAGGGGAGAGGCTGAATGCCACTTGGGGCCAGGAAAGTGACACACTCAAACAATAAACACGTGGAAGAGCAAGGGTTTGTATCCAAATGAGCATCTCCAAAGCTTCAGACTTCAAGCAAGGGCACACTCAAACACCCCAAACCTTCAGCATTACCTCGAAGAGAACGACCCCCCAAAAGCGATGTTGAGAATCTCTCAGAATCTTCACTGTCACCGAGAAGCCCAAAAGACTGTTTCACATGGGCCAGGCCGGCCACTTGACTGCTACCAGCGCAAAAAGGCGGGCGGGTCCGAAGTTCCGAAGACCGCGTTCCTCTGAAAGCGCCTTCTGGTGGGTGCCATGGTGGGAGGATGGAAGCTGTGGGTGCGAAGGTCACGAACCCCGCCTTCGTCGCCAAGCTCCTCTTTGGCCCAGGCCAGTGACCGCTCCAGCAGCCACAGCGGCCGCTTCACCACCTCTGCAGGTGGCAAAGGGCGATTTTAGTTAGGGACCCGAAATGGCGGTTCAGGTGGCAACCGTGAAAATTCATAGCCACACTGAAACACCCTTACAAGGCTCATCTTGTTTTTTTAGCGCAGGTGCTGTAAGTGAGCTTGTGCACAAATCATTTCAACATGGCCCTCGGTTGTTTACAAGGGCCACCAGCGCCACTGTTTCTCGTTGCTAGTAGTGATTTCCTTATAATATCCTGTCAATCCTGTTCTCGCCATGCAGGCACAGCATCCCGTACTCCCAACGGGAGAAACCAAAACAAGGAAGGGAACAGGCCCTTCTACGCATTGCGGCGTGCTTCCATTGTTGACGGGAATGTTGGCCAATGGCGAGTACGAGTACCGCACAGCAAGTTGAGTGCTATCAACGAGTTGGTCGAACGAATCCTGCCCTGATTTGCGGTAGCCAAAGGCAACAAGCCTGGCAAATAGGTTGATGGAGTAAAAGCAGATGGCAAGCCTTGAGGCTTCTGGCACGCCTTGATGCGCTGATCTTGGGTTTGGTTCAAGTTCCAATTGCTTCCGGCCGGAGCGAACCACAGGTCCAATCTCACCATCCACCCCATGCTCAGCAGGCACACAACCGCTCATGCACCCAATGCTAGGTCAAAGGCGAATATTTTGTTGCCCTCCCCTCAATTGCAGTCAAAAATCCCTTGGCTCCACTTCTTCTCTGAATTGGGGGGAACTCCTAAATCAGCTTGCAGGTGCTTCCTGTTGGCCATGATTTTAACGGACCCCAATAAATTGAAATCCTTCAGTTTCCATTCCCTTTTAAAAAAAGCCTGGGGTACCCTCCGAACACGCCAACGCACACACACACACACACAGACACACCGAGCCGCCCCTTGCGGAGGCCACTGCGTGCTGTGCTGCCAGGCCGGCGCTGAGCCGCACATGTAGAAGTGAGCCTCGAATAGCAGCGTCTCATTTTAATACCGGGCTTTGATTCTGACTCAGGTGTTCATTGTGGCTTAGTGGCCCAGAGGCTCCTTTTCCGAGCACTGCCAGTCAGACCGACAGAACCACGGACCGACGGACCGACCTGTTCCTCGGCAAAACAGTTGTTTGGCACAAGCAATGTAACAATAAAGATGACGGACCAGAGTGGAGTCGAAACCACTATAATTTGCTCTGCAAGCCTGAGCTTGAGAATGCCCATAGGACAACTGGTCCCTTCTACTCCAAGGCAACATTTATTTGTGGCTGTCAGTGTCATGGTGAAGCGGAACTTTCTTCGCGAATACGGGGGCGACTGGTCAATCCACAACAGCCTGGTCCGCGCGGTCCAACCTGTTGCGCCCTTCGTGCACAACAGTTTGGTATTTGTCCCCAAAGAAGATCTACACGGGGCCACTCTTCCAATCAAGGTCTAGCAAGGACCAACCAGGAGTGCCAGTAGCCCAGTGCCCTGGTGTTCGCCGTTTGTGGTGGGGAACCCGCCACTCACTTCCTGAGTGGATTAGCCAAAAGTCTGAACTTTTTGTTTACCACTTAATTGGTCTTCCCACAAAGTAGAAAGTCCACAAACTCAGGGAGTGAGGCCAAACGAACCGGAACTTAGAGGGTGGTGCTGGACAACTGGGCAGTCGACTCGGGGCATCAGGGAAAGTTTTCCCGAAAGAGAGCAATCAGGCAGGGGGTTGTGGGTTCATCTTGCCTTGGGATATCACCTCAGGTTCGGGTCCATCGCCTCCGCGAGCAATCGTGTTTATTCGAGGTTCTGGGGCGAGCTTCAACCCACTGCGACCTTAGGGCAACAAGGACATGGACCCACTTCAGCACCCTAGCTGTCCCTTGGGACGAATAAGATGATCATGACAGCCAAACTGCAACCAGTGATTCCAACAAGCTTCATGAACCAAGAGGCCCAAATCTGTGGACAACACACCACCTCCCAGTTGACCGGCAGCTCCCCCTATGGGTAGGCAAGACGCCAAATGAACAGTGCCCTTGGCTACCCCAAGAGTAGGAGCCATTTTATTCTGTCTTTGAACTGTGCCTTTTTCTTTGCCTTTTTCGGCACATGGATCTGGGCGGGCCCGCTTAGCTTAGCTCGCCTCCGGCTGAGATGATGCCAGCCAGGAGGGCGGACTGGTGGCCAGGAGGGCGGAGCTGCGGGGAGGCATGTGGTGCAGCAGAAACTCCTGGACTGCCTTGTCCTGGTTCAAGAGGATTTCCACCCAAAATCCGCGGCCCACGGGAGAATTGAGTATATTCCCTTTTGGTCGTGTTTGTCAAGTGGTTGTGTACCCTGTTTTTACATTTGGGGGCAGTGGGTTTGGGAGTAGGAGGCCGGCCCGAACCCTTTCTGAGCAGAAATTCTTGAAAGCGTTCTGAACAACTCTGGGGATAGGGAACCTCTAATGGCTCTCCTGATTTGCAATGCTTTGAACAATGCCACATGACACACCAGTGTTGCGCTATGCGTCTGTTGACTTTGCTGCGCGGGATGTTTTGTTCTTCGTTTTCCAACGTACTGCTTCCCCCCCTATGGAACAATGTCTCATTTGGTCAATTGCCAGGCGTTGACAGGAAAGACCCAAGAAGACAGTATCATCCAAGAACACCCGACCCAAGGTATCAGTTCTACACTTCTCTTTCGTCGACCTTCCTTGCCTCAAAGCCACCCCCCCCCCCCGTTTTCAGCAGAAATCAAACATCAATGGGGCCAATGAACGCGAGCCCGGTCAAAGCAGCTGCACATACATTGCAGCACAAAAATTGATCTGCTAGCACCGCAGGGGGTTGAACTGAAAGTGGCCGGAACCGCTTGCCAAAGCAACATTTCAGCGGCAGGCTGCGGCAATACTTGCATCGATTGAACAAAACACACACACACACACACACACAAACACAAACACAAAGACACACACACACACACAAGCACAATCACAAGCACAAAAAACACACACACACACAGACACAGACACACCACAAACACAAACACAAACACAAACACAGACACACACAAACACACACACACAAACATGGACACACCCACACACGTACATACTTCACTACTACTGTGATTTTTACTACGATTGTTATCCTGCTTATGGACGCAAATTTGTGCATTGGGAACATGTCGGAACGGGCGTTCCATGCAAAGCCTCACACTTCAAGGCGAATCGCGCCTTGGGAAACTTCAAGAGCTTTGTCTCCCGGCCTGGGATCCATTCGCTGGGGCCAAGGGCATGCAAGCATGGGGTTGTATCTTAAACAAACGACTACTCAAGATTGGTGATTTGCAGTTTGTGCCAGTTTTGAAGAACAATATCATCTCCTCAGAACGAAGAAGGGTGCATTTGCAACGTTCTTTCCAGCTGATTCGTGGTGAGTCCGGCTGTCACTAGTTCAAAGTCCCTTCGAGCACGAACACGAAACCGCATCCAACTGTTCGCGAGCCCTCAAGCTACCAAAACTGTCAGCCAATATGATATGTGTGTTTTCTGCTGTGCTCTCTTGACCTCAACTTCAATTTCA